ATCTCATCAAATCATACTTCTTGAATAATATCTTCTAATCCTAACCTCTCCGATTACTTCTAATACCTTTACTATCTCTTCTACTATTGGATTTGAATTGACAATTACATCTCTGTGCTAATAATGTGGTATGGCGACATGAACTGATGTACTTACGTACGAAGTTCTACGTTGCAACTGACTGACTGAGGTCGGTAACTGCTTACACATGATCGATTTTAACTCCATTGATCATGGCTTCTCACTCAAATTCATAGAAACTTCCTTACGAATCTATTAGTTACTAGTGAGCTCAATTTTTATGATTTTCATTACAGGCCAATGAAGACTGTTGTTTTACAATCAAAATCATGAGTTAATTAATCATTGATTACTTTCAGGCTTATTACATTTCATGATAGATTTTTTTTTTACGTAACAGTATAAATAATAATAATAATAATAATAATCATTTTGTTTGAATTTTTTGTTCAATGTCACCACTTTTTGTCAAGATATATTTTATTTTAACGAATAATGAATGAACTATTAGTATTTGTAATGGATAGATTGTATTCGATACAGAACAAAGCTTACTTATGTGTATTAATGTGTATTTATATTGACTGTTTAAAAAAAACTATTTGATGAATATTCAAATTGATCAATGTTCAATTTCATTTTGGTTTGTCTATTGAATGCAATGAAGAGTATGTTTTAAATAAAGACAAGTTAGTTGATGAATCAGTTGTTATTTTATGATATTTTAGTAGTATGCATGATAATAGTAATCATAATATTAGATTGCCATTTAAAATGTCAGATGGATGCAAAGAACATTAGAACGGGGATTGTGAATGGGCAGTCAGTCAGTCAGTCAGTTACAACGTAGAACTTCGTACCTATGTACACCAGTTCAGGTTGCCATACCACGTCAGCGCAGAGACGTCACTGTAAGTTCAAACCCAACAGGGATAGAGATAGTAGAAGTATTAGCAGTATTGTAGAAGATTAGGGATTGAAGATATTATTCAAGAAGTATGATTCAGTGAGATAACTTTAGAAACAGTGAGACAGAGATGATGAGGAATGCAGAAGGTTAGCATTTGAGAGAACACAAACAATGAATGCACCTGCGCCATTGCAAACGGTTTTGAACCAACCAACCTACTCCTACACTACAAAACCAATCTCGATGAGGCAGTCGGTGGTTAGGCATACTCAGCACATGTCCCAATCACCTCAACTGATGGGGTTTCAATACTTCATCTATTGATTTGCCATCCCCATCTACTACTGGTCTCCTAGTTACAAGGGTCAATGACAATTTCCTACTGACAATCTCCAATTATTTGACATGAATAATTTTAAATGAAAATAGTCATCAGCATTGTATTCTGATATCTTTCTTCATCCATATTCGATTGGATCAGAGAAAAAAAGGCAAAATAACATTTTGGATTTATTGTAAATTTTCATTGAAATCAGCAATTGATCAAAGTTAAACCACCATGAAAAACCGGGAAGCATTGGTTGGTCGTTTCGTCCTAGTATGGGTGCTTTCGGGTTTCTAATGGTGGTCTACCATTGATCGATTCATGAATTCAAAGTAACTCAACAATATCCATAACTCTATAATGCGTACTAATGACTAGTTTCGTGAGGGAGCTTCACCGAATTCAAATGAGAAGTTGTGACCATTGGGGTTCAACTGTGTTCGGATATGAAGCAGTACTCATTGAAGACAATGAGTGAGGTGGCACAACACTGTGGATTGATCACTACTTAGATAATTAACACGCATTGGATAGCCGGTTGTCATGCAGAGGTCAGCTAGCTCTCAAGACCGAAGGTCCACGGTTCGATTCCTGCTAGTGGGGATCGTGAATGCACACTACTGCTGATAAGTCCCATGCTAGAACGAAACAACTATACACCACTGCCTTAAAAATTACTCATAATGATGGTCTAACAATCATAACCAATTCATCTATATCATCATTTCAATCAATCAATCTCTGATATTGTTGGAATGTTGGCGTTAGAATTAATCTGTCATCAAAATGGTATTTTCATTCATTCATTCATTGTTACCTAACAGTTTTAGTTAGTTAGAATAAAAGTCTCTCATTCAAAATCCAATATTAATCGAAAATTCAATTATTCATTGAATGCGCATGTCAATTAGAATTCAAATATACTTATTTTTTTTTTCTAAAAATTAAACATTTAAAAAGGATTTATAAATCATTTCAAATTTTTCTCACATTTTTTTTATTTATTATCAAAATATCAAAAAATTTGACAATTGAACAAATGCGTTACTTTTTAGTAGTAAAACGGTTTTTTCTAATCTATGAGTAATGTCACTTAGATAGTTTGATTTCAAATCGATTTCTAATGTTTTTCAGGTGATTTTTCATTGAGATTTTCTAATTAAAAAGAATGTCTAACACTTATCCAATTCGATTACAACTAGTTAAGGATTGTACAAACTGTATTTATATTCATAATAAGAATGAAGGTAATCTGGAGTCCGTTCTGGGGCTGCTGCCGTTCCTACGCTTGGATAAAGAAGGAGGGTTGGGAGTGGAGTTGGCGATCCCATCACACAAAAAACTAACTCGCTGATAAAACGCTGATCAGAAAACTTAATTCAAACCATTTTAACTCTGCTTTGGGAGTAAGAAGGTCTTCTTTGAGAAGAATTATGATGTCTCATGATGAAAGTCGAGTTCTTTAGGAAGTCATGAGGTTGATGTCGGTCTCAACATACAAAAAGGGAAAAGAAAGATTCTGCGATACAACACAACATGGGTCAACCAAATCAAACTTGTTGTAGATGCCTTGGAGGACGTTAACACCTTTGCATATCTTGGCAGCATCATCGACCACCAAGGTGGATCCGATGAAGACGTGAAGGCAGAGGTTAGTAAAGCGAGGATAGCATTTCTACAAGTGAACAACATCTGGAACTCCAAACAAATATCAATCAACACCAAAATCAGGATTTCTATTACAAATATCAAGCCAGTTCTACTGTATGGAGCGGAAACTTGGAGAACCACAAAAGCCATCATTCAGAAGATACGAGTACTTATAAACAGTTGTCTTCGCAAAATACGTCGGATTCGTTGGCAAGACACGATCTGCCGCAACTTACTTTAGGAGAGGACAAACCAGATTGCAGTGGAGGAGGAAATCAGGAAGAAGCGGTGGAAGTGGATAAGACACACATTGAGGAAAGCACCTAACTGCGTCACAAGACAAGCCCTCACATGGAACCCTCAATGTCAAAGGAAAAGAGGAAGGCCAAGGAACACATTACGCCGAGAAATAGAGAAAGATATGAAAGGAATGAACAAAATTTTGACAGAAACGGAGAGGGAAGCTCAGGAGAGTTGGTTAGAGAAAACTGGTGGGCGGCCTATGCTTTATTGAGGGTAATAGGCAAAAGTAAGTAAGTAAGCTGTTGTTGGTACGATTACATTCGAGTTTCAGTATAAGGTTGTGGAGGTTGTTGAATTTCATTAAAACCATGAGTTGATCAATGTTAGACCATAAACCAAAACTTGTAAACACTGGATGACTGTTTCATCTTAGCACGAGACTCATCAGTCATGTGCATCTAAAACTGCACAAACGGGAATCGAACCCAGGAACTTCGGTATTGTGCACAGACGCTAGATCTCTAAACTAGTGACTCGGCATCTAACTTGTCAATCAACTATTAGCTAATGATAAGCAAAATGGTACAGACAATTGTTTCCCTCTAGTTTCACAATAATCAACAATACATACAACATTTAACCTCACACAACATGTAACTCATGACATGCAGGGGCGGCATTTTCTGATTTTAGAAAAGAGAAACTTGAAGGTTACTGTACGATTGGTCATTGTGTTAATTTTTGAAGAAATTAGTGAACAACAGATAGAACTAAAGTGTTCTACAATGCAAAAAACCGTAGACCGACATTTATGTAACAGTTTTGAGACTGAGATCAATATGTAGCGTCATCTGTCTTCAATGTATCATGGTACCATATGAACAGATAATCATATTTTATTGTTTTATGATAATACACTACTGATTACTACTGATTATTAGTAATATATATTTCGTGTTTTCGTAGGAAAAAAAGGTAGACACCATTCACTGTAGTCTTGATTTGTATTCCACATTGATTGTACTACGAATGATATCCTATTGTGGTGGTGTTTCGTTCTCTGAGCTGGTTGTTTTGGTTGTGTGGAGCTTTCATTGTTGTTCTTCTGAACAACATCATCAGCACTCCACAACCAAACACAACCAGTTCAGAGAACGAAACACCACCACCACAATCATCCATCTGAGCTACAAGTTTTCTTCACCATCTCAAAATCATATGAGCGTGATACGCTTCTCATTGTTCGAAAATGGGAGTATTTCGCCAAAAGGCAGGCTTCCACTCGAGAACAACTGTCTATTTTTTTTCTCCACGAATGTCTTCGTCAGCATGTTCTGCCAACAAGTGTCAGATATAGACCACCAATCAATTGCCCAATGGGATGGCGAATAGCAGAGCAAAGTGGGAGACATAGTTGTGCTGATGATGTTGTTCAGTAGAAGAACAATGATGAAAGCTCCATACAACCAAAACAACCAGCTCAGAGAACGAAACACCACCACCACCAAAATCATCCACCTGAGCTACAAGTTTTCTCTACCACATCTCAGAATGACATCCTGGAAATTTCATATTCAAAACATTCTGGATTGTAAGTAGCTTGTACAAATTGAGTAAGTTTAAATTATTTTCCTCTCATGTTGTTACAAGAATCAAGCGATTCACTCTTTTTCGTTATATATATATATATATATATATATATATATATATATATATATATATATATATAACTTCTAAAATGATAGACACATTCTTTAAACATGCCGCTCAATATGTAAACCAGTTGGACATTGAACATTGAACCGATTGAACAACAAAAAATTCAAATATTATCAAAACTTCAAAAATTACCTGATTGGATTAATATTACATAAAATAATTGACACATTTGGTTGCATTACTGTTAAATCATCTTTGTGATTCTCGCCATCATAATCATCATAGTAGTAATGATAATCATCAGCTTGATGGTGATGATGATGATTGGCGGTTGATTGTTTGTTTAAATGTGAATATTTAAAATAATCCATTAATCCATTGATATGATATTGATTATTGAATAATAAGTGATAAATTTTCAACCATTCAAATGTTCGATATAACAATAAAGTTACACATAATATTAATGATATTCGAATGAATTAACCTGAAAGATAAAATTTGAGAATAAAAAATACGCGCCATGTATTATCAACGGTTCAGTGATCAATGTACGCTTGAAAGAAAATTAATCTGTAAAGTTGGTGAATCTTGTGTGCAGTTTGGTACATGTTTCAATTGTTTCAATATGGATATTGAATTTAACGAAACAGAAATCATTCGTCAAGAACTTTAACGAAGAAGCGGCACCCCTCTATAAATTGTTAAGCGATACTAAGTCTACGTGGACAGAGACTGCCCAGCAAACTGTTCGACTGTTCGACGCTACGATTACCTGAACCGGAAAAACTGTTTACATCTGATAACAGATGAGAGTGACCGTGAAATAGGCGCCGTCTTAAGTCAATCTAACAGTGTTGTGATAGAATATGCTAGTCGCGTTCTCACACGGTGAGGGCAACCGGATTGTATTTAACGAAAATTACAGAGTTACTCAGTAAAATTGGAAAACCATATCGTAAATTCGTTCATTTGCAAAATATCAGTTCATCATCATCGAACTGGACTAGTTCCTGTTGCAAAACAGTCAATCCATTGTCACTCACTATTCATGCGTTTCATACAAATTCCATTGTGTTCTAACTCTTCCTTTCTTGATCTTCCCCAATAGTCTGCTAGCCAGACATTACGTTGACACTCACGTCATATACTACACTTATACGTAGCTCACACCACACTCTTCCCCCTTTTTAATAAGCTGTCGTCGTAGTCTTTCTGAATGCCATATCGCCGTCTTCGTTGGTGCTTTCCGTGATAATCTTGAAATCTCTGCAGTTGACTGGCATTCACTCTTTTTTGGTTGTCTCCTTTCCGTATCGTGTAAACAGAGCCACGTCCTCTAAATAACAATGTACGGTCCTTCCCATTTCGGTAGCAGCTTCCCTGATCCTTGTCCCCAGTGCTACGGTGCCTTTCCGTTCTCTACATTTTACCATAGTTCAGATTTTAAAAATAAACTTATTGATTAGAGTAAAAGTTTAACAATGGTTGCATTTATCAAATTACTGATCTCAGTGTTAGTTAGGGACGTTAGATCCCCAGAACTCATTGGGAAAAGGTCCTAATTTTGGATTTTATGCTTTTGCGCATGGACTGATCAGTTGACCTTAAGATTATACTTCCCACCCGGAAAATCCTTGACTGTCATTGGTTGATGTTGTACTTTAGTACTCTGTTTTGTGACTCTCTCAACGACGTTTCTGTCATGTATAAATTAACTCGATTTGTGTGCTTGAAAACCTCATATTTTCTGGATGCTTGTAGAATACACTTTCTACACCATATCAAGACTTCTTCCTCTACTTAGTGGGACCTAGGGTAGCTCGGATTAGAGCAGCCTATCGTGTCACTGCATCATTTGTCTACGCTCTCATTTACCGACTCCAGTGAACTCGTAATAGTTCCAACCATATTAAATGACGAGCATAACACTCAGTTAGAAGGTTAGACAGATACACTGTCGTAGTATGAGATTCCCCGCTACAGTGTATCCTCACAACCCAGACAATGGTCAAGTGTAGGAGCTTCCAAATGAAGAATGACTTCCGTTTACAACGTTTTTATCTCTAAACCATAAAGAATCTTTACTTGTGATAATATTTATTGATTGCGATCATGATATTGACAGTTGAACATCCTAAGAATTTTTCTCAATTTCCTTAAAGATATATTCATTAAAGACATCAATCTTTTTTAGAACACCGTTAGAAACCTGGAAGCACTGGACAGTCGTTTCATCCTGGTATCTGTAGAGTGATCAGAGTTAGACATTCATACCGTTAGATGCCACCGGCTCAATGGTCCGGAGGTTGGGCGTTCGCGCCTGAGATCGAAGGTCCTGGGTTCGATTCCTGAGAGTTGCAGGAGTCGTCGATGCTCACTGCTGATGAGTCTCATACCACAACGAAATGGCCGTCGTTCAGTGCTTCCAGATTTCTAATGGTGGTCTAACAATGATTGATTGTTGATTTCTAATGTGTAAAAAACACGAGTCTCCATAACGCTAATTGAAAAATGTATGCATTACATAATTATGCAATGAATAAGTATTATAGTGGAACTTTTGAGCAAGTCAAAATCAGATATGAATTATAGATGCATTTTGCAGCAACTCATAAACATTTGAGTTTGTATATACACTTAATTTTGTTAAAAGCTCTTTTGATTAACTTATTTGTCAGACAGAGCCGTTTATATAGCGATAACTTATCTGTACCATAGCGTGTTGTGTTCGTATGAGCAAGTATGATTGAGCATTGTTGACGGATGACTCATTTTGTGCGCTTAACAACCTCGTATTCTCTGCATTCCTGTAGAATAGATTTTCTACGCCTTATCAAGATTTCTTGCTTTTGTTAACAGGGCCTGAGACAATCGGATTAGAATAGCCTATCATGTGTCATTGTATCGTTGATCTTCGTTCCGTTTACCGAGTAAGGTGAACTCGTAATAGCAGTCACACATATCAATTAGCGAGCATCTCAACATTTTAATCCTACTCACTAGCTCCCTTACTGGCCGCCTCACCAGATCGCCCACCTAATTGCTCTTCGGCACTTGCATATCATTTTTACTTCGTGTGTCTGTAATTTAGTGATCAGTGTATGATGCGAATAATAAATGTAATCAACGCTTAGTATTCGTCTTTTGATTTTTAAACCATTGAGTGTTATCTAATAATGTTTATCAGGAAGATCAGTATACGAAGTTTACGAGTATATCGAATACCGACCGCCTCAGAACTGGTGAGCAGACATCGACCACAATCTGTATGACACTCAGATAGTTGCATTACGGTGTTTTGGAGGTTGTTAAGTTACACAGTTGAAATCATGAATCTATCAATGTTAGACCACCACTACAAACCAGGAAGCACTGAAAGACGGCCGTTTCGTGATGCTATGGGATTCATCAGTAGTGAGTATCCACGAGTCCTGAACCTCGCAGGGTTTGGACACAGGACCTTCGGTCTTGCGCGCGAACGCCTACTTTCTGGGACACTGGGCCGGCACCCAACATTGTCAATCTCTAACTTTGAAGTCTTGGATGCTCACTGCCGATGAGTCCTATACCAGTACGAAACGATCGTCCAGTGCATCCAGGTTCCTAATGTTAGTTTAACATTGATCGATTCATTATTTCGATGTGTATCTTAGTTTACAAAATCTGTTCACATAGTCTTCACCCATCAATTTGTAATCCTAACAATTTGTCAAATGTCTCCTTTCTTCTGGTCTACAAAATACCCTAAAATTACACTATACATTTCTATATTGTTAGACACCTATCTAATTAGTAACTTTTACGTGATACTCCGATACATACTACTTATAAACTACTTGTGAGTAGCATCAATCACATTTGTAAATTTTTTAAAAAATGCTTCGGATCTTTACTTTGAATACATAATCTACATCTATCGTTGACGCATAAAATTTATCACATTACAAATCTAAGATGAATGCTTAACTAGTAAATATAGAATTCCAAAACTATCCGCACTGATTAGATTCAAATTTTTGAAAAAAAAATACTTAGTATTGTGGCGTGAGCTACTTATAAGTAGTATATGACGTGAGTGTAAACGTAATGTCTGGCAGCAGAAGATGGGGAAAGATCAACAAGAAAGGAAGAGTTAGAACACAATGGAATTTGTATGAAACGCATGAACAATGGCAATGGATTGATGTTTTTCAACAGGAACAGTCCAGTTCGATGGATGATGAACTGATATTTTGCAAATGAACGATTTACGATATGGTTTTCCTATTTTACTGAATGACTCTCTAATTTGCATTAAATACAATTCGGTTGCCCTTACCTGTGTTCTCATTCACTACAGTATCTCTGGGGTTTTTTGTAAATATTAAAATTGATACCTTCAATACAGACAGATTATTGACTTGTTGAAATACTTGTAAAGTACAATTTTTCAAATTCTATATTCACAGTATGGTTAGACGATGAAATTGTACATCGAATTTCTAGAGATTTCTAAATCGATTCGAATTGACTCGAACATGTATAATCTCTTAAATTCGCCGATATATCTTCTCTCATATTCATGTAAATAAAAGTTTGTACATAATGTTTGACTAGGGGGGAACATTTAAGTTACGATTTTGGACAACACAACAGATGTGAGAGGATCGTTAGCAAAGCTTACCATTGAGGTCAGTCAGTCAGATGCAACGTAGAACTTCGTACGTAAGTACATCAGTTCATGTTGCCCATAACCACATCAGCACAGAGAAGTAATCGTCAATTCACAATCCAATAGTAGAAGAGGTAGTAAGGGAATTAGAAGTAATCGGAGAGGCTAGGGGTAGAAGATACAATTCAAGAAGTATGATTCAGTGAGAAAAGTTTAGAGAGTCGAAACTATAGGTGTTGAAGAATCCAGAAGATTAGCAGTTTGAGAGACACACAGAGAATAAATGCACCGGCGCCATTGCGAACGATTTTGAGGCGTGTCATTCAAAGTCTCTAATCATGGATTATTATCATCTTGCGGACCCCAACCAGGTAGTCGACAATTACCGACATGGCTAAGTCCACTAGTCAATGACTTCATGGATTTGTGCCATGTTTGGGTTTGGCCACCCCTAACTTTCTTCCAACCTACTCCTACACTACAAAACAAAGTTCGTCGAGGTAGTCGGCGGTTTGGCATACGCAAGACATGTCCAAACCACCCTCAACTGATGAAGATTTTACCACTTCATCTATTGATGAGGTGGTCAACCAACAAATCATAAGTAAACAAGTGAAATACTAGTAAAACTAACAACAATCGGTTCAAATAGGACGATCGATAATCAGACAGTGAAAAGTCAAATGTTAACATTTGGGGAAATAACAAAAACAATTG